ATTTGTAATCTTGTGTTGTATGAATTACATGAGATAATGCACAAATGTAGGTTAGTTAGCCCAGAGCCTGGTGATAATGAATGCAAAATAATTAGTACCAGTAGTTGTTTATATTAGGATGTTTTGAATAATTTTTAATGTGGTTTCTTATTTCAGTCCCAGTAACTCATTCTACCTTATTGAGAGCTTTTATAGTTGAGATAGGAATAGCAAATGGATTATTATTTAGTGTATTCAAACCACAAGGGCACATGATATCCAACTGTGTATTTAACAAGCAATTCCAGATGTGCTCTCCCAGAACACAACTCTCTCCTAAATTTGTGGTGATGTTTGTTTCTCTTAAAGATCCCCTGTTCCATACATCAATATGCATTTGATGAGCTGGTCCTCCGGGGTTGCACTAGCGATCCCTTCTCTCTTGTCTCCTGCTGTTGCCAGTAGATGTAGTGGTGTCCAGGCTCTTGTCCTGCCCCAAGAGGAATTCAGAGGCAAGACATGGAGGTTAAGAGAGTAAAGCGGGGATTTATTAAAGGATAAAGAGTGCATTCTCAAGGGGAGAGTGAGCAGGCTCAGGTGAGCAGCTGGCGTGAGTTTCTTTGGCAAGTTGGTGACACGGAGTGTAAATATGAATGGGCAGAATATTCATCGGAGAGGGAAGGGTTTGGGGTTGTAGTCCCTAATTTTCATCCCAACTCCACCTCCCCAAAAGGAGGAGGGATTTTGTCATTATTTAGTCTGGATTGGAAGTGTCACGGCTTCGGTGCACGATGGGTACTTCTAATCTGCAAGGCTAATTTTATTGAAATGAGAGCATAATGAGCAAAAGGTTACATTTGGACACTGAAGATTCCTGCCTTTTCCCACTTTTCTTCGTTGGCCTCCAGGCCACTCATCACCCCAAAAGGTGTGACAGTTTATCAGCCCAGAGGATCCTGCTTTCCTTTCTCTGCCCAGGGACCCCTGTTGTTTACATGGTGTAGGGTTTCCTGTGATTGGCCTGTGCCCCTCCTTTCTGCCCAATTCCTCCCATTTGGCCTGTGCACCCCTTTCTCTGCTCATATCGAGCTGTCTGCCTGCTGTAACAAAACTATTGCATCTAAAAAAATTGCATAGGTAAGCTTTTGATAGAAAACATAGTGGCAACATTCACTTTAATCAAAATATTTCTGTTGGTTTCTACACATAAGGCAACTCACGCATGTTTCACTCTGAGGTGATATATTTGACAAACTTATCCTTAACTTAATAAGAACAAAAAGGAGCATCAATAGGAATTATTGTCTACTTTGAATTTGTGCAATTAGTTATAGAAAGGAGATTATCTGTATATATCCTTAGCTGTTATTAATTACCTCTTGCAGTGAAATGTAACTGGTGGCAAAGCCAGGGGTTTGTTGGTTTGTTTGTTTTAATTTGGTAAGTACATGCCACTGAAATCCAGTTTCAGTAGAACAGCCTCAGTTTTCTCCTATTTCTTCAGAATCTTGTTTGAGTTAACATTTGTTCCTAAGAGCTATTTTATTTTTTTGTAAAGTTTTTTTTTTCCTCAAATTTGTTTTTTGAAAAAAAAGCTCAACAGGTTTTCTAAAATAATAAATTATCAATAAATGCAATTTTAAAATATACCGGATGGTAATCATTTATCTTACAACTTGGATGAAAAATATTATTGCAAATTAATTTTTAAATAGCTTCTGAGGTGGTTTTAAGAGTCTGTTCCATTAGCCTCTAACTGTAGAACTTGTGCTAAATTTATTTAGATGTGGATTGTGTGAGGGACAAACACTGCGTCTCAATACAGGCTCTCAGCGTCCACCAGCAACACAGAGTCTGATTGCTGACATCAGGGACTCCTTCCATCTTAGGGCTTATCACCCTGAGCAACGCAGAAAGCAGGAAGCGGAGAAAACGTTTTTATTGACATTCAGTCACTTAATAGATCTTTCTTGGAGACTAGACTCATATTTCAAAGACACTTAAGTTTCCTATATGGTGTTGAGACAGGAAGGGGGCAGGGCACAGCCACTGAAGGATTGCTACAGCAATTAACATCAAAATGGTGAAAGATTCAACCCCCAGTAGGCCTTGAGGCTCAAGATGTGAGATTTGACTTCTAGCAGACCTTGAGCTTCATTATACGCTCATTGTAACATACTAACACGGTGAATAACATGCCCACAGGCGCCATGGCAGTCCCAAGGCTAGCCACAAAAGGTCAAAGAGTGGGAAATGGCCCACTTTCTGGGAATCCCAGCCCCTTCCTCAGCCTAGTTAGACTGGTCCTTCCACTTACTAGCGTATGAAGCCGCTGAGCCCATAAAAACTGGCAACATGGTGCCTCACGACCACCACCTCCCTCCCCTCCTCTCTCTCTCTGTTAGGAGACAGCCCACACTCGGTCTATGGAGTGTGTACCTACTTTTACTCTAATCTGAGCACCCAACCCCCACACC